GAGGTCTCACGTACGACCATGTGAAAGTTTCGTCTTAAAGATCGTTCGAAAGCCAAAAAATCAGCAAACTGAAATTCTGGAAGGATATTCATCCTCTGAGGTCTCAGATTCAACTTTCACGTATTGATGCGTGAAATTTTTAAATTTTTTTCAACATCTCGACTATTTTTGCACAGACCGAAGTGAACAGCAGTGAAAATCATTAAGGGGCAATCATTCGGTGGACGGAATTGCGCAAAACGCAAGATCGTACAGGTTATTCTGATGCGCTCTGCTATTTATTTTTGTAAGGCGCACGGCAAGATGTGGTTGATTTTATCCACTTTACGCGAGTCATTTTCAAATTCGTGGAATATTTTGCAAAATTTCATTTTCTGCATATGCTCACGGCATTTTCAGATGACCTCCCTGTGTTGCAGTGCGGGCTAATCCGTTCTTCTTTCACGATGTTCGCCGAAATGCAGTTCCACACTTGCTGGCACTTCGCCGGACTACAAAATGAAAAGTTCAGAAACAAAACGAGAAGTTACTTGCTAAGTTCAATGGCTCGCTGCAGGTCTTCATCGAACTTACGATCATCAGCAGCCATCGTCCACTGTTCAACAATGAACCGTCAAGCTAAAAGCCATTATCTGCAACTGCACATCACGCGCAAAATCACAACTGACTGCTCACAGACTTCGTGAAATCTGCCAACAGCAGCCTCAGAAGCAAAAATTCCCCAAAAGACGAAGCGCAGCACCTGGTGAGGACAGTCCAGAAACGAAGGCTTTGGAATGGCAACACTTGGCCGGGCGTGTGTAATTCACTAGCGCCCCGGGGTTTACGCTAATGAACTGGGCGAGTTTGGTGAAAAGCGCAGCACCTGCATAAGCATAGCCACTGCTTCCCTTGTTTTTGCCGAACCCCGAAAAATCAGGAGTAGCTACCGAGTAATACAAAATGTGAATATGTTGCAGACGAAAATACTATTTAAACTACCATGAGCATATATTATTAGCAGCAACGAGTACAAAAGAAACAATAAATGGCCAGAGCACCGACTGCCGGTGCGAAGATGCATTTTTTGCATAGTTCCCCACAGGTTTTTGTCGCTAACTGCACCGGTTTTTCCCCTTTAAATCTAAGTTTTTTAGCTCTGCTGTTCCCCGATTTAGCAACTTACCCGAAAAAAACTTTGCCGACCTCGTGAAGTGAAAAAGTTATTTTCAAGTAAGCTGCCAACTCGGGAAACAGAAAAGCTAGAAAACTGAAATTTTAGAGGTACTATGCACACCCGGAGACTGGTTTCGAACCCATCGAGAGTTACGTGGACGGGAAACACAGCTTTCCAGGTCTCCAAGTTAGCAAATTGCCCGAAAAAAACTTCCCCGAGCCAGCAATTGGAAACCACACACACCCGGCTGTCTGAGTTTGAGCTCGTTAATACTTGTGTGGACGAAGAACATCCCCTTAAAACTTCAGCCCTCTAACTTTCCAGTTCCCCAAGTTAGTAACTTATCCGCGAAAACCTTCCACAAACCCGTACGTGGAAACCACGTATCCTCAGGGAATGGGTTTGAATTCATTAAGACCTATGTGGGCGGGGAATATCCCTTTAAAATTTCAGCTTCCTAGCTTTTCTGGTTTCCGAGTTAGCAGCTTGCCCGTCAAAAACTTTGCGGGCCCGTGCGTGGGTATTACACAGGTAAAAGCGCCCATTTTTGGGATTGAAGCCCGTACATACATACGGATTAAGTTCCCAAAGTTTAACCCCTGTAGCTTTTGTAGGTCTTGAGATGAAAAATCGGTACAGACGAACACACAGACGCACACACAGACACAGAAATACAGACGCACACATACAACTTTTCGCCCATATGCGCTTGCTGCATTGCATAGATGTAAATAATTGGA